GTTATAACTACTTGATAAAGTATTATAATTTATAACAGTAATAATTAAGCAATTAATTTGGAATAACTATTTAATTAAAATTGTTAGATTTAATAACACCTTTACAATACCTTTACTAGAATTGTAAATATAATTTTTTTTTATATAACAAAAATTTGAGAAACAGTAACAATATACATATATAATGTCATAAAGTTCATTTCATTTCAGAATTATAATAAATATAATAATACAAAGAATAAATTTTTTAGCAAAAAAGTGCTACATTGTAGATAAAAATTAGTTCAAATATCCTTTATATAATATAATAAATGTCTAAAAATCGAAAAATTATTAAAATGACATTAAATGATCTTTGTTTTATGTTCATATATATTTTTACCTTCATATTCGGGAAAAGGTGGAAGAACAGAATGTTTAGTTCGTTTCGTTGAATGCACGTGCTGTTTTTCTAATGCTACATCTTCATCATCGGAATTGCTTTGATATCGAAGTGGTAATTTCTTCTGTCGTTTCGTTGTACAATATGTTTCTAAATCAGAATCACTGTTGCTCAAGTGAGACGTTTCTTCTGCTTTATATGCTTTTTTTGTAGCATTAGCAAAACTATCTATAAAAAAAATTTTTCGATAGATATTATTAAGCAATGTAGACTAAGATCAATATAAATTATATAACTTAACAAAAAGTGCACACACACATTTTATTTGTGTATAATATTATATTTCATTATAAATGTTATTTAATTAAAAAATTGAATTAGCACTGATAATTATAGGAGGATAATGTTTTTTAAGTTATGAAAAAAATTAAGGTTTATACTATTTTTATAAAATCAATAGCAATTAAACATTGAATTTGTGTTCAAAAAATAAAACTATATACTACTGATATCCAATATTTATTCGAAGTTATAAAAATCACATAAAATATAATTCTGTACTATAATTTTCTACAAAAAGTTCATCACATAATATTTTCATTTGAACTTAATTTTAAAATAAAATATTTCATTTTTAAATTATTTCATTGTCATATAACTTTTATTTATTTTTATCTATCCTGTATCATAAGAATAGAATAATAGAACATTTTAATATAAAAACAAATATGATAGTAATATAAAAATATATACCTGTATGTCCCAATACTTTTATATTAACAGAGCTCCAATTATCATTGGGTACAGTATTGTTTTTCAAGTATTTTCTTAGGATTGATGGAGTTATATCTTTAGGCCATAATGCTGTTTTATTATTAGATGATATCCAGGAAGAAAGGATAATTTCGACAGTGTTCTCTTCTATAAATTCGACTATAGAATATTTTTTCATCTGTATTTAAATATTTACATATGACATTTGTTGATCATCTCACAATTATAACAAATAATAACAAAATTTATGCTATAATATTTATACTTATAATATAAATGCTTGTGAATATCTTTTTATGTATGTATGTTAGACACAATATAATCAAAAAGAACAAAAATAATGCATAATATGTTTTATTAGAAAAAAAATTTATTGAAAAATATAAAAAGAGACGCAAATGTTAATTGTATTTAGTAACTGTGTGTAGAAGAGGATATCCAATATATGAAATATTATCTTTAAACACAATGCATTTGGCTTCTATTTCTGCAAAATTAACTATTTTAAATGACTCTTCCAGATTATACATTCTATATATTTTTAACTTCTGAGATTCACAAGGATAAGTAAAATAATTACTGTATTTTCTAAATTGCTTACAAATAAAATCAATACACATGAAATCAATACACTGTGTTTTTTGTGAATTCTTAAGAACAATATTAAAAATTTGTACAATCTTTCCATTTTTTAACAACGCATAACGATCAGATCTATGACAAGTCACAAAATGATATTTATTAATAATTATCTCTTTATACTGACTTACAGAGCTTTCCATGCCAGCAATAAGTGGTCCACATTTATGTTGATGTTTTAATTTACAATTAAAAATATATTCTTCAGAAATAAAATTCTGATTTTCAGAAAGTCGTCGTGATAATTGTGATAGTGGTTGTTTTCCACCTCGAAGAGATCTTTTTTATTTTGCCAAGCAAATTTTCAAAATCAAACGAACTTATATCATCTAATGGCTTTTTAAAATTTTTAACGTCGTCAGCAATATGAACAAGATTATGCACATTGTAAATTTTAGAACTTAGTCCAAAATATTCATCAAAAGTCTTAACAAATTCTATCAGTAAAGTCTGTGCATAATTGCATAATTGAACCGCTAATGTAGGATGTGAAAGAATAAATATTGCTGTATGAAAAATCTTAAAATGGTCGATAATGATTATTTGGAATAATTCCATTGAAAACAAAAAGTCCAGTGTACAAGACAAATTGGCGTAGTTCAGTAGCTTTCCACTTTCTTATCTTATTTAAATTTCGAGGTTTTTCGTGAAAAATCTATAGGAATGTATTCGTGTAACGATTCTAATATTTGAGATAAGCAATTAATTCTCCTTGTATCTAATTTAGAAAAATAATTATTTCCTTGCACCATTTCAAAAAGTATTTTTTTCATAACGCCTAAATGAACTAGATGCATTGAATCTAATATGAAATTTGTAACCATTGGAAAATTAATTTCTGTTAAGGGGGATATACCATTATGATGCCCCAATTGTGTTTGTAGCAAAAAACTCTCATCTGTTCTTGATTCAGCATCGATTTTATTGAATATTGTTGCACCAAATGGATGTGTCCCTTTTTGTGTGCACCTTTCACAACCATAAAAGCCATTATGTCCTTTAATTACTTTAATAAACGCTCTAGCAGGTGCATCACAAATAAAGGCTGAAACCGTTACTGAATATAATTTTGTATCGATAACTAAGCCATTATCACAAAGATTTTTGTACTCTTGTATAAAATCTTTCATATATTCATGTACATCTGGAGGTTTAGACTGGCCGCAGTATACAGCAACAATAAAAGGGTCAAGTTTACATAATGTTTGATCTATTTTGCAAAGTATCGGCCAAAATTGAATTGAAGAACTATTGGCTAATGGCAGCCCATCAATGTTAACAAACAACTTTATTTCTTGTAGTGATTTCAATAAGGGTACTTTTTAAAATAAAATATGTAAGTTATTGGCAATCCCAAAATAATAATATTTTCCACTACACATATCAAGAACAGATGTATTTCTTGATGTTTTTAATAAAGTCCTAGCATCAGAAAATGCAATAAGATTGTACTTTTTTAATGTACGTAAAAGAGAATTCAAAGCGATGTGAGAGATTCTATATTTGAGAGCCCACTGGGCAAGATTACTTGCTAAGTTAGGATTAATATCTTCTGTAGAATTTGTTAAGACATTACAATTATGACTAACAGAAAATTCTGCAGCATTCTCATTAGAACTTTCTTCATTATTATCATTTTCAAATAAATAAAACTCAATAGAAGAAACTGATGAGTTGTCAGATTCATTATCAGTGCAACTAGAATTGATACTTTTAATCTCATCTGTTGTCAACCAAAGAGATTCATTTTCGTTAAATTGCTGACAATGCTCTATCAAGTCGGAATGAATAGATTTTTTAGAATTTGATCTGATGGATTCTTCGATACTATTTGTTTCATTCTCTGTTTCAAGCATTGAAAAATGTTTCTTAACTCTATCATTCATTAATTTCCATTTTTTGCGTCTCTTTGACATTGTAATTAAACTGTACGTATGTTTATAAAAAAAAAATATATATATATATATCTGTCATATGTTAGTCTAATTAAACTACGTTATACTATATGTGTAGTTATATACTCTATACTTTATTACTTTATTTATTAATAGTAAAAAATATTTTATAATTGATAAATATAAATTGTTTTTTGAAGATAGGATTGGAATGGATATAAAAAATAAATGGATAAAATTCAAAGAAAGTAGCGCAATAATCTGTAAAATATAATTTCAATAACATACTGTGTCTAATACGTAAAAAAAATAGAAAATATAATAAATTCTGGTAAACAATAAAAAATTAATATTTACCTTGGCTGCAAAATTGCGAGTCCTCTCCGAATTTTTCAGGCAAGCAAATGTAAAAATTTGATCAAAAATCAAAATAACCTCTTTCATGAAATATCAATTCATCTCGTTCCTATTTAATGCGAACGAGTAACTGATGTTAAGACTTATGGAATAATTTCTGGAAAGTAAAGATCTGAGTGTAAAATAATGATCAATCACATGCAACAATTTTATAATCGATATATTTTCATATATATATTTCAATAAAACATTAATAAAAAAAATTAGCTTTAATCAAAAATAAAAACTATTTACCTTTTATACATTTACTTTTTCTTTTTAATAATTACACCTTATAGACCAGTTGGACAAATAAATGTTAGCAGCACAAAAATTTTTAGTCTGAACAAAGGATGTAAAAACGAACACATTCACTCGCGTTTAAGGACGGTAACGAACTCACACTCGTTTATTATATAACAAGTATATAAAAAGAGTACGAATTTCTCATCACAATTTCTTTTTCTTCTTGAATTTCAATGAGACAAAAACCACGTTGTACTATAGTTTCGGATTTGTGGTTAGGTAGCTTACATAGCACGAAACGAATCTCTTCTAATGGCTTCTGCAGATAGGATGTTGCTTGTCGCGCAACAAAAGATGCGATAGCCAATCACCTTCCAACTTTTCCATAAAAGCAAAAAATTGACTATCGCGTCGCTTTTTATTACATAGCAAGCATTACAGCGTCCTACGTGCAAGAGTGATATATTATATCTATATATATTAATTAAAGCTATAAATCTAATATTTTAATCAGCGCATAAAATTTATTACTATCTGCATATATATAATCCTAGAAAGAAACCTATTTTTTACTGCAACATTTGTGATTTATTGCACATCAGATCGATTTACTGATTTAATAAAAACGCAGGTTTTCCAAAAATAATATGATTTAATTAACTACAGAAAAAGTACCGCAATATATAAAAATTATGTTGAATATAAAATTAATTCACACACAATGAGCAACATATGCAATATTGGTAGCATGTTGACATTTATTTTATAACCAATATTGGTGTCGTCATGGCACTGCAATATTGGCAACATATTTATATTTATTTTGTAATCAATATTGGTATCGTCATGGCATTGCAATATTGGTAGCATATTGACATTTATTTTATAACCAATATTGGTGTTGTTATGGCACTGCAATATTGGTAATATATTTGCATTTATTTAGTAACCAATATTGGCTATCCATTGGAAAATATTGGCCAACGTACTACCAATATAACCAATATTTAGCCAATGTAAGCCAATACTTAGCCAATGCACTGTGTTACTAGGGTTTATAAAGTTCTTGTCTTTATAAAGTTCTTGCTTATTTGGTTGTTCAAGTCTATATATAGCAATGAAATCGCAGTTATTAGATCGCTTGGTTTTCGATAAAATAAAACCAAAATGTCTAAATATTGATTCCAATTTAGAACATTCTAAATCTCTTTTTTTGAAAAAAACTAAACCTAAAATTATATGCAATTTGGCCTTAACCATTTCTTTTTATGTTTCCAAATGGCAGTTATTAGATTTAACAAAATTTTCGTTTGAAGTGTTATATTAAATATTATAAGACCTGAAAACTGTCCCAACGTATAATTTAATTTTTACGAAATTGTAGATTTCGAAACTTGCATTTTTACACAAAATTTTGCTATGTTTCTATTTAATACTGCATTTTAGTAATTTATTACACTCACAGTTAACGTAATTTTTCATATACAATTACAAGAAACTCAATAAAATAAATTATTTGTCCTTTTTTATAATTAAAAAATATTGGAAAGGTCTGAAAACTGCCTTTTCTTTAAATATTAATTCAGTTAAATGGCAGAATTAAGGACTTGTGAAAAAAATTTATATAATTTATTAGTTTTTCTTTTTACAACACAAAAGTGATCAAAAATTACTAGTAAGTGTCAAATCTATAGAATACAAACGTTAAATAAAAAGGTATTTGTTGCTTTAGTTAAAAATATGATTGACCTGATAGCTGCCAATACATACAAATTTCAAAATATTTCCAAAAATACTGATTTTTGTTGACGGAAAAGTATTCCAAAAAGATTTTTACTACACTATTATTCACAAAAATCATATTTATAGAAAACGTCCCGAAAACTGCCCTTCTACTAAGTATATATATAATAATATTGGTATAATAAATAAATTTAATTTAAATTAATTAGAATAAGTACTTTGTTTTTTAAAAATAAATGCACGTAAAACTCAAAATATTTGAAAAAAATACGTGAGAATAAAATTTTAATATATTATTATTATTATAAAGCGATAAAAATTATACGGTCTGCAAAGTGTCTCGAAAGTATATTTTTACACTATTGTTTGATCCATTATCTTAATAATAAAAAACGAATTAGACTCACCGATCGATGCGCAGCAGCGGAGTCGTTCTATTGATTCGCATAGTTGATGATCTGTAAAATACGAAAATAAATCAAGATTATAGTTGCCGTCATAATGAATATTTATCAAATCATAATAGAGTACATTGAACTTTTAATTCTTTTTGTAAGCAAATATGGAATAAAAGAATTATTGAAAAAAGTTTAATTACTAAAATAAAAAATTAATGAATATGTAAATAAATTCTAATAATGATGAATATTAACTAATGTAAATATTTTAAGTCTTTTAATGTACATACAACATTTTCAACAAATGAATGAATTATTATTTACCGTAAAGTTACTCCATCGGCTCCTTCTGAGCCTTCTTCTCCTCTCAGTGATCCATCAAAGCATTCACACTGAATCACATGCGTTCGCGGCGCACGCTTTGCTCGCGTGCGTGTCCGAATACGAAAATCGCGCAACTCACATTAATTGACACTTCCGATGTCGCAGGCGAATCAAACCGAATTGTCCAAACTGCAACGTTACGCGCGAATTCCATCCGCGTTTCAGATGATCGTATTTACCAATTGAGACACAATTTTCTTAAAACAGAGGGCAAACGTAAGCTCGAAGAAGCTAAGATGCGATTAGTCATGGAATCAACCGACTAGATACCGGGCATCTCACTTGCATTTCGGTGCCAAACTAACGGAACTATCGACCAAGTCCTGGGTTAACTTGTAGGCCGTCGATCATACGTTTCATCGGTGCAATTAAGCAACCCCATGCTTTCCGATATGACATATGTTAGCACGTCTGACACTGAAGATGCCTTTTTGTAGTCGAAATTTTATGATAAAAACCGATCCTTTCTCCCCTAGTCAAGTCCAAAGTCGAAAGAAAATCATGTCCCAATATTTGTCGTAATCTGCGGTAGAAATACATTCGACCAGAGCTTGGCATGATCTGCACACTTCGGCCGATTTCCGTCAGCTAACGCCTACCGGCTCAGTGTAGCCAGATTTGGCCCGGTTTTTCGCGCATGCACGAAAAACCGGGCCAAATCTGGCTACACTGTACCGGCTCCCCACTACGTCTTGAGCAGTCTTGAGACAACGCATACAGCGCTCTGCCTCAGGTACGACGTATCTGTAACGTGATAAGGTTCCGTGCCCCCTGACTGCCAAATATCAATACTTTCAACACGATCTGAGACGTTTTTAATAAAATCGCGCAACGCATAATGAGACTGTCAAGTGTTTACGATCGTCTCATGATGCATTGCGCCGTCCCTGCCTGCCCGTTATATCGAACTCGTAAGTAGCAAACTATTTTCAATTATAACTCGAAAACTAAGCTTCGGATAAAATTTTGCAAAAAGAAAAATCGTCTTAAAATTCACTCAAGAATATGGCATTGCAAGAACATCAGGTTATTTTGAATCATACTGATATTGCTTCGCTTGAAAATGGTTACCTTCAAATCTCTACAACTCAATAAAAAATAATCGTACAAAAATAAAGAAGTATTATTTTGAAGGTGAAAGATAGCGGAACAGGGTGGCGTAAGCGAAATTAAAAAAAAAAATTATCTTTGACGCAACGTGTTGAATATGATGAAAATCGACGTTTTTGGCCCATTTTACCCCATTTTTCATGGAAATATGACGTGATAGGCAAATTCTGAAAGCGGGATTGTTTTCGGCGATCAAAAATATGTCGGAAATCGTTGGTTTTGTTCTTAGGCCAAAAAGTTTATCTATTTTTGTTGTACTGTGTTACTTATACTTATAAATACAAAGGGTAGTTTTCACCCTTAAAGTTGCATCATTGCCGATATAAAAAAATACGTGTTTATTATTTTTGACCGCTCTACAGGTGTACCGAGTTTCAATAAAATCGGCGAGTAACACAAAGATAGATTTACTTGTTGTTGTGTTGAGGGCCTTAACTTCTTAAGACTGTGACCAACTGTCACCGAACCGTAATTGAAGAGAGAAATGAGGATTGTGTTATGATATTATAAATTGTTATTGATATACAGAGAAGACCGCTAAATGTGCGAGCGAGTAAACGCAAGCCGTGAGACAGACGAAGTATGTAATTCTTTCTTTTCTTTAATTCTTCGTTTTGGTCTATTTTTCTTTCCATAGGAATATGTATAATTCGTTAGAAAAAAACGTAAAATAATAAAAAATACATTATTAAATAATTATTTAGTAGATAATGATTTAGTAGATAATGATTTATTAGATAATAATGGATGTAAGTAAAATGCCGGAATATTGCGATAAATTTTTTAAAAAATTGCAAAATTAATATTAAATAACAGTCCTAAAACGGTCGGATATTTATGCAGATTTATGCAGAAAAATATTTTAATTAACTGACGATGAACAAATTATATTATAATAGTCCTAAAAGAAAGTAATTTAACATTATATTCTAAAAATGATATTGCTGGTTCATCATCGACTAATTTATAATTTATATTTTTATAATGTATAACATAATAATAATATGTATAT